GTGCTTCAAGTATTGTCATGTGTTTTTAAAAACTGCCACTGACTTAAAACAAAAGTTGTAACCCCAGCAGTCACCATTAATCATATAGTGTATTACAATATGCATATTGTTAAGTGTCGGTATTTGGAATTGTTTCCGGAAGAATCCTTCACTTTCTGTTTTCTGCACAATGATGATTCTTGCCAAGTTTGTGATTCAGGAGAAATAAGTTCTAAGTACTTGGTTGGCCTCATCCTGGGACTTAAACATATGCATAAGACCATTAGTTGTTTCAAAAGTTGGAATCTGGTTCCTTGATATACTAGAAACCAGAAATCCAGAAGTTAGAATAAAAAGCTCACAACTGCAAACATAAGTTTCAAGGATATAATTCCTTCTAACAGTCACAGAAATCTTTTTTTTTTTTTTGCATTAATATAAATGTACATGAACTAAAAAAAACTGGATATATTTTTCCTAACACTTTTGACAGCTCTATCTATTTGTGAATTCTGGGGGATTGATACCCAACACATTTAGATAGGGCCAACTTGGATGACAAGTATTAATTAGTATTGGCACTCCATGAAAGGAGTCTTTATCAGGAGATTACCTGATCAGGATTTTTAAAAGGAGGGAAAGGGGTCATTGTGTGTGAGACCTTTTTCCATTATTCAGCATAAGGGAAGAAAAACTTCCCTTTATCTGCCACTATTGAGCCTAGTAGTAGGAAATGCAACACACAGGGATATATAGCTCTCTGATCCTTTTCTTTTTGGAAAGGCTTCCAATAGCATCTGTAAGTAGACTTGAACCAGGATATCATCAGTTGTTGCCCAACACTCTGAACTCTGTACTGCACTTTTAGAGCAGGGGTGTCAAACTCACATCACTGCAGCATCACGTGGCGTATTGGAACTATTTCCCCCTTTGCTAAACTGGGTGTGGACGTGGCCAGCATGTGAAGCATCGGGCCCATTGGCCAGGAGTTTGACAGCCCTGCATTAGAGCATGGCAGTTAATGAATATACCAGTACACAAAAAATATTTGCCAGAATAATGTTTGGAATTTTTCCTACTGATATGGCTATTTGTACTTGTGTCATATGGCGTTGAGAATACTCATGATGTAATTTATGATGTAAAATATACTTCACAATGATGCTCTTGATATAATTGATGGTATGGCATTTAATGATAGGACTGTCATAATTTCATGATAGAATCCTACCATCTATTGTGGACTTTTAAATAAATATTAGCATAAATATTAGTGTAAGAGTGGAAACTCCTGAAGCAGTGTGGAAAGGCTTTTAGGCTTTGCCATGAGAGTTTAGCAGAGGAGAACTTGAAAGGTGAAAAGACATTCTAGTGTTGTGAATCTGGTAATACACTTGTATATACAGTCCTGTCTGGGTTGAGTTATAAAAGAAAAAGAAAAGGTTTTTTAAATCTGAAATTAGAACCCTGCACTACATAATGATATGTACTCCATATTTGTAGCACCATAAGAACATGAGTGTCATCTTGGATAACACCAGTGGTCTATCAGGATGGCATTCTCTGCCCACATTGCCAAACCAGATGCTTTCCAGACGCCCTATGGTGTAAACCAGAGAGTGATAACCTTTCCTTGCTATTTGAATACAGCAATCAATATTTAAGGGAGTGGTAAACAGCTCTTTAGACTACTAGCCCCTGATAGCCCAATCTTCTAGGCCCTTTTTAAAATATTCTAAATTGGTAGCCATCACTGTAATTGCACAATGAAATTATACATTGTTTAAAAATATATATTTGTGGGCACATGTCTTTTTGGGGGGAGGATGGCTTCTCATTCTCCATAATATCCTCTTTTAGGAATGTACACAATATTCCAATATAGTCACTATGATTTAGCTAAGGGGATTTCAATATTGGTGCTTTATTTTAAAATCTCCCTATTTTACCTCCCCCTTGTTACATTCTGAGTTGATATTTTCTTTGACTTGTTTACCATGACTCCAGGATACCTTCCCCGATCAGCTGCTCCAAACTGCCAGCAACTTTCAAACCATTCATTAATGTATGAAGTTTGCATTTTTCTGCTGATGTACATTACTTTGTGTGGAACCGCATTTGACATTTGGCACTTCATATAGTTTGGAGAAATATTTTTGGAACTCTTCTCTGTGTATTTTATTTTCTCTTGTGATAAATTTTTGCAGTGTTAGCAACTTTGACCACCTCTGTGCTCATATGTAGCAACAAAACAAATAAAAACGCTCTGACCCCAGTGTTCAAGTCTCTCCAGTATACATTGCAGAGCATTAATTGTAGTTTTGCTAGATTAGAGTTCTAGTTCTCATACCAACAACTCCACTAGATTAAATTGGAATTCTAGTCACACTTTTATCTTGATCAATATTTACTTTTCTATTTTTAGAATTATTTTGTGATTGCATTCTTCTATCCTAGAATGCAATCTCTATGTAAAATACACTATAAGAGGACTATAACTTAAGAAGTGCTTTTAATCTTAACTGTAACACTTTTCATTCTTAGCCTAAAAAGTAGATTAGGAAGGAGGTGATACAACAAGAAAAGAAAAACAATATTTGTCCTTTTATTTCTTCTTAGAATTACTGCTAATAGATTGCCTAACAAGTATCCAGTATTGCTATTTAAGGCAGTGGCCTCCAAGCTTTTTTGTGCCGCGGCCCGGTACCGGCATCACAAAATCATCCGCGGCCCAGTACCGGCAACACAAAATCATCCGCGGCCCAGTACCGGCATCAGCACTCATGGCAAGGCGAGCTGAGCGACCGGCCAGCCAGCCGTCCCCCGCTTCTCCCCACCACCTTCAACTCCTCCTTTGTACCTGTGTCGATGGGCTTCGCAACGGCTTCGGGACGGTCGCTCGGCTCGCCTTACCATGCGTGCTGAAAGAATCCTCGTGCCTTAGTTTTGTTCGAAGCCGCCCCCTCCCCCCGATGAAACTAAGGCGCGAGTATTCTTTCAGCATCCAAACGCTGCTTTCTACCCGGAAAAGCTCACCAGAAGCACTTTTTCATCAAAACAAGATGGCGGCGCCCAGCAAACCGGCGGCCCGGTAGAAATTGTTCCACGGACCGGTACCGGTCCGGGGACCGGTGGTTGGGGATCCCTGATTTAAGGCACAGGCATCAGTAGTGTACTACAAAAAATATTTTTCTTTCACAAAAAAAGCTGCGTCTTTTTCATTTAAAAAACAAAACAAAATAAAGTTTCTATATAGAATATTGGCTAAGAATTGTTTTGGCTGGTTTTTAAGTCTATTAGATGTGATAATTTAAATTGTTAAAGTATATTAAATGAGGTTTGATTTCTTTGATTTAGCTGGCAACAATTTAAAAAAATCCCTCCTCATACAATTTGTGTAATGGATATACACAAGCTAGTATTTCTGCAATAGGACTTTTTGTACATTTCTTCATTTGCACCCTATCTCCAACATTTCTTTGGTGATCTTTGGGGACTGGAAGATACAAAAACTATCTACTTTACCATTTCATTTGTTTATATTGGCAGTCAAACTCAAATTCTTAAATCCTATAAGGAGATGTTCTGCTGTGAAGAGTCTTCTTAGCACTTCCCTTGGAACTTACAATGTTTATTTATTTATTTTATTTGTTAATAAAATATAAGTATAAGTATAAACATGAGTAAGAATATAGGAAATAGGTACGAATAAATGGGGACAATAGGACAGGGACAGTGCACTTATGCACGCCCCTTACAGACCTCTTATGGAGAATGGAGTGAGGTCAATAGTGGGTAGTTTAAGGTTAAAAGAGCGGGGGTTAGAGGATGTAACAATTGAGTCAGGTAGTGCATTCCAGGCATTGACCACTCTGTTACTGAAGTTGTACCTTCTGCAATCAAGTTTGGAGTGGCTTACATTGAGTTTGTATCTGTTGTGTGCTCTTGTATTGTTGCGGTTGAAGATGAAGTAATCATTGACTGGTAGGACACTGTAGCAGATAATTTTCAAGCCTGGTGATATAGAGTATTCTGTTGCGAGCAGAGGAGTGTAGTTCTCTTCTCGTGAAATACTTCTGGACTCGTTCAATTGTATTAATGTTCAATATACAGTGCGGATTCCAGACAGATGAGCTGTATTCAAGTGTTGGTCTAGCAAAGGTTTTGTATGCCCTAGTTAGCAATTCAATATTACCGGAGGAGAAGCTTCATAAATTAGATTTACAACTCTTAATGCCAAAAGGCAAATGCTGTTACAGTGCGCTCTGGCGCTTAGGTTATTTGATATGAGTACTCCAAGGTCCTTGACAGAGTGAGGGTCATCAACAAGGTCATATCCGCCTAGCTTGTATTTGGTGTACTGATTTTTTTACACTTCCCTTGGAACTTACAATGTTTAACTAAGGATGAATGGCTTGTAAGAAAATTGAGATTGATGAAGTCCTGGGCTTCAGATAAACCTATGAAACAAGCACTAGTTTCTTCTACATGGGAGTTCTCTAAAGAAACTACAAGCACGCAAGATCATTTTTTCCCTCTGATAGCACAATCCAGTACAACTAGGCCAGCATTATAGAAATTTCTGAAGGCAGGAAACTGGGTAGAGGTCCTATTCTAGAATATAATATGTATTCTGTATGCATATGGTCATTTTTAAATATTTTGTCTTACAGACTAGAGAGAATATGTGAATCAGTCCTTTCATTTTCATATGTTCATAAGTCAGTTTCATACTTATTTGTTTGAGTCATAATTGGAAAAACAAAAACGAATTTGCATTTAAATATGAAACTATTTTTTCCACAGACAGTGTATTCTTCTATGCATTTTATTCAATACACAAAATATACAGACTTCAAGATAATGTTCAGATTTCCATTTGTGAAGTTTAAATTAAATCATTTCATTTAAAATGCAAATATCTAAAATTCTGAAGCACTACTATTTCCGATTATAAAATATATCACAGATCTTGTGCTTATCTTTGATTTACTGTTTATTCTTATTGATTTATTTTTCAGTGAACAGAGTATATGCCAAGCCCGGGCATCAGTTATGGTTTATGACGATACCAGTAAGAAATGGGTGCCAATAAAGCCTGGACAACAGGGCTTCAGCCGAATCAACATCTATCACAACACGGCCAGCAACACATTTAGAGTAGTTGGAGTTAAACTTCAAGATCAACAAGTGAGTGTTTTTTCAGCGTTTCAACCATACAAGTTCTAAAATAGAACTCAAAGAACAGTGGTTGTTCTGTGTTTTTTAAAAAAAGGTATATTAGTGTGTGTATGTACATTTAAACTTTTTATTTTAAGAGCACATTCTTTCCTCTGTGGTTAAAATACATAATTTATGCTGAGCAAAGGACGCCTTATGCTGAAGTGGGATGTTGCTCCATTTAACACAGAACTGTCTCAAGTGGTTACAAGAAATTCTCCAAGGTTTCAGATAATTCCAGCATTACCACGAGATGCCAGGATATAGGATATTGTATAAATAAAGCAAGTTGTACATTCCAAGCTTTATACTCCGCCCCCCCCCACATTTGTTTGAATTATTTATTTATACATATTGTTCTAATTCAAATCCCACAAGACAGCTTTGCTTTATAAGAAAACTCTCATTAGCATAATAATCTTCTATAGTCATTTGCTGTGAAAATCCCTTTGAACCCTATGGCCTTAATGACTTTCAAAAGGCAAGCAAGTTGAAGCTGTCCATCTTCAGAAACAAGATGTTTCTTATCATCTGGATTTGAATGAGCAGCTTCATTCCTCAGCAACCCTTCTTAAGATGTGCTCACATTGCTAACTCTAGTCAATAAAGATTATCTAATACAGGGGTGTCAAATTCAAGGCCCGCAGGCCGGATTGGCCCATGGGGTGTTTAAATCTGGCCTGTGGGGCCAGCCTGAAAATAGCAAAGTCCACAGTGCCTCTGGCAGCCAAAATGGAGAATGGAGGGGCTGTATGCAACCTATTTTCAGCCTGGACGGCAGCCAAAACAGGGTGCAGGGGGCCACATGCAGCCCCCCCCCATGGCCCATTTTGGCTGGCAAAGTGCTGCAAGAGGCCATCTAGGCAACTTTCAACCCATTCATTAATGTGTCGAATGTGGTTTTTTTTCTCTCTAAAAAAGAAGATTGGGGATTGAAGTTCTGCAATACAGCTAGATAGAAGTATGCCTCCTTTACAGTAGATGGTTTTTCTCTTTCCATCAGAGTGGTACCAGTATTACTTACCTTACAGATCCGGATGAATGCATTCTACTTAGGAAGCCAGGATTGTCATAAATCCAATCGTGCTGCAGAGGATTGTTTTCACTCTCTTGATTTCTACAAGCTCAAAGGGATCCCAGATAATCTTGTTAGACATTACCCTTGTCACCTCATAAGATTCTGTCCAATTAGTGCCTATCTTCAATGAATTGTTTTATCTCAAAGAATCCCATAAAATTATTATGGTGGTCAGCAGAGAGATCAGCTTCTTTACCCAGGGCTACTAAGTGATACAAGTCTGGAGATGTAGGAAAAGCGGTGAAGAAAACACATTCCATTCCTTTTATGCCACTAAATACTCCTAAACAATGGGCACTCACTCATTGTCTTCTGCCAACATTATTATATCTCTCTCTTTAGCTGCTTCATTTCTTGCAGCTTTGCAGGAAGGGAGGCCTTCAATCTGCAACTTGGGAAAACCTGCTTGTATTCAATCATGTTTAATGTCCTTGTTGAATACCAGAAAACAGCTACTTGAAGGCTGGAAAAATTTCTAGGTGCCCTCAGGAAATCTCTTGGATTTATTAGGTGCCTGGGGCAGTGGGGCAGGCCATTTTAACCATCCCATTGCCCTCACAGAGGTCAGGTGAGGTGACAATGTGCACAATTGATTGGACTGAGCAACCAGGATGATTAGGGGACTGGAGACTAAAACAGATGAAGAATGATTACAGGAACTGGGCATGGCTAGTCTGGTGAAGAGAAGGACCAGGGGAGACATGATAGCAGTCTTCCAATATTTGAGGGGCTGCTACAGAGAGGAAGGGGTCAAGCTATTTTCTAAAGTTCCTGTAGGTCAGACAAGGAATAATGGATGGAAACTGAACAAGGAGAGATTTAACCTGGAAATAAGGAGAAAGTTTCTGACAGTGAGAACAATCAACCAATGGAACATTTGTCAGAAATTGTGTAGGGTCCCCCACTTGGGTAGAGGGTTGGACTAGATGACCTACAAGGTCCCTTTCAACTCTGATTATCTGTTATCTGTAGCAAGAGGGCTGATGGCAGTGCCCCCTACTTTCAGATCACATTGCTGCTACATCCTTGCAGAATGTACTTTACTTCGAAATAGTATCTGATTCAGGCCTTTGGATCTGAAGAGGAAGCATACCTAATCTGAAAAGAACAGAATTTATAATATGTGGGCAGTTTGGAGTCTGAGCTGTGAGGGCAGGGCGCAAAATGAGGAGTTGTCTGGAGTCTCACTATTGGTGACTCTGGCAGAACGGTTGAGATAAATCCTAGCTCAGGTATAAATGTTTGTTTTACGTGTGGGGGGGCCAAGTTATAATCCCTAGGATCTGCAGTTAAAAGGATCAGATAATATGTGTTGAGAAAGATTTCTTCATATTTGGACTCCCAAGAGAACAGACAATACTGGGCTAAATGAAAAGATAGAACAATCTGATGCAAGATATCTTCTTATATTTGTTTTCTACCTTTCTGGAAATATATTTGTGGGGGGTGGGGAATAAAAAATTATTTCAAAAAGAAAGCAAACTCTTACATAAAGAGAAAAACAAGATATATAACATCTGACTATACAATAACGTTAAAATGATACATGGGTTTATGTGTATTTTTTCTGCTAATTATTAGAATTAGTAGCTGCTAATTCATTATTATCTTAGTAAGTTGTTGTGCTGCCTTTTAGGCTATTTCTCCTTCTGATGCAGCTAACCTTAAACCATTCATGAAATTAGATAATAAAATTATGCACTGTTATAGTAGTAAAAACTATTGTATGAAAATGATGGCATCAGATTAAAGCATATGTTCTTAGTGACTGCTCATTTCTTCTATTTCAATTTCAGGTAGTGATTAATTATTCAATTGTGAAAGGATTGAAGTACAATCAAGCAACACCAACATTCCATCAGTGGCGTGACGCACGGCAGGTTTATGGACTGAACTTTGCTAGTAAAGAAGAGGCAACCACATTTTCAAATGCAATGCTATTTGCCCTAAATATCATGAACTCACAGCAAGATGGAGGTAAGACAAATAATTAAGATTATCGGGTCTACCATTACCACTTCTGTTAGCAAATTATAGCCTGATATACAGTAGTACAAATATTAGAGTCAGGATACATGACTCATTCAGAGTGCAATATCTGCCCTTTTTTGAAAGCATTGAAGGCAAAACTTTGGTATTTCTAAAATGTACATTTTTCTGTTTTTAAGGCTTGTGTTAAATTGTAAGAGAACACTACTGCTAGCAATAGCACATGCTGTTAGTTGTCTTGCCCCATGGGGGGAAAATATAGATGCTCATAAAAGAAATAATCCAGGCACTTTTCATACCTGAAATTTTACTGTTTCCATTATAATGAAGAAATGTGATACCTTTCTTTTTCTTGTTTTAATCCACCTGTATGAGATTTATGTGAGACATGAATTTGTTTGGCTTTGTCTTTTCAACCCCATTAGGTAGACCAGATTATGAAATTAATTCCACAGGTTGTCTATAACTGCTTCTATTGAGATTGACTGTAACAATAGAATCTTGGGCTGCAGATTGTGCTGTAGCTCTTCTTCCTTCTTATAATTTAATAAATCAGGAGAGTGTTTGTCTGAGTCACGTCCATTCTGGAATTAAAAAGAATATTTTGGCCCCTTTTACTAGGCTAGAACTTCTGCATATCCCCAAGAAGGTCATCTTCCTTACTCTCTGTAGGTCCTTATCCTAAAAGAAATGTGAACATAAGATTTGGTTGACCAACATGTTTACTTGCTGCTTTCCACATGCATACAAGATTTATCTTCCCATGGCATATAGAATAGTTAAGTCAGATCAATGCTTAGCCATTTTTTCTAAAAAAAAATTCCAAAATCTAAATGCAATAGACACATTTGCTACTAGACACATTTTAAGCAAATGCTTGAAATATGAACAAAAATATGTAAAAATATCAGTGCGTAGAGCTTTCCAATTTATTTTGTTATCACTAAAACAGCATGATTGAGACTTCTCAAAGATGAAGAAATGTCCATTTCTATTTCCTAAACTCAGATTATTATTTAACAGGTCAGTATTTGAGGGTAGGAATTTTATTGTACATTATTGTGATAATTCTTGAGAAAGAATTAAGGATGTCAAATTGATGGCATTAGTTACTTAGATTAGATTGATTAGATTAGATTAGATTCAACTTTATTGTCGTTGCACATGAACACAGGCAACGAAATGCAGTTAGCATCTAACCAGAAGTGCAAAACAGCAATGAAGTATAAATATATATAAACAGATATACAAAATATATAACTATAGACTATTTCTGATGTCCTATTTTTAACATTCACTTTCTTCATAAACCAGACTCAGTACTTTATGTTGTGGTGTTTGTGAGGTTTACACAGATCATCTTGAGTAAACTGCTTATTACACTCAGACACCCACTTGTGTGAATACCATGAGTCTGAATTAATTTGGCAGCACACAAATGTAATTGATTGATTAATTGATCTGCTCAGTGATGTAGGATGAAAAAAAGGAGAAATTAACACTGTATCTTGTCTCACCAGGTTCCATTTGTTTTAGCAGCAGCAGAACATTTTTGAAGCAGTGTGTTCTTGAGAAATCATTGAGAACCTGGGGGTAGTGCCAGTCATTTTTTTTAACCATTACAATTTACATAGTTTTATTTTATTTTATTTTATCATTACACCTCGTACAACGAAATCAAACACCATCTTCAGTGCACATCATGACCATGACCATAAACACACATCCTTCACCCTCCACACATTGAACTGGAAACCCCCGACACCACACCAACACTGCACTATACAACAGAATTCAAAAGAGCTACTGCTCTGGGATAGAAGCTGTTTTTCAGCCTATTTGTCCTTGTTTTTATTATTCTGTACCGTCTGCCAGGTGGTAATAGTTAAAAAAAAAAGGGTTCCCAGGATGAGATGGATCTTTGAGAATGATTTTATCTTCATTAGTTTTTGTGTTTTGTTTAGATTCACTAAGGAAATACTTTCAGTCTTTAATAAATGTGTCTTGAACCATTAAATCAAATAGTTATGCTAATTTAATCAATCCGTCCCAGCATTTCTCTGCTGGATAATTCCATTGAATTTCTTATTAGTCTATACTACTGTAGAAGAAGAAACACAAAGTCAATAATAAAGCCCTTGGCAAAGACATTTTTTAAAAAAAGTCATTTGGAGGGCATGAAAATCCTGAGCTTTTTTCCTTGCTCTTCAGTTCAATCATGTGACCCCATAGTTGCTGAAATAGAAGCTAAGTTTTGTGACATCAAATGTCTCATCAACGAAGATGAGTCCTCCTTATATAAAGAAGGCATTGGCTAAACCAAAGGCATTGGTAGTATTGTAGCTTTAACATAAACTAAGCTTTTTTCTACTGTCCTGACACGCTTTCCCAGACTGTAAATACAGGTAGTCCTCAACTTATAGCAGTTCAATTAGTGACCATTCAAAGTTACAGCAGCACTGAAAAAGTGACTTGTAACCATTTTCCACATTTACAACTGTTGTAGCATTCCCATGATCCAGTTATCAAAATTCAGACACTTGGCAACTGACTCATATTTATGATGGTTGCAATGTCCTGGGGTCATGTAGAGGCTAATATTTGGAATAGACTCTCCTGCTCCAGCAGGCAGTTGGACTAGATGACCTCCAAGGTCCTTTCCAACTCTGTTATTCTATGATCTATCTATTAATATATATATATTTTAAAAAATCACCTTTTGCGACCTGACAAGCAAAATCAATGGGGAAGCCAAACTCACTGAAGAGGCTTACTAACTTAACACATGCAGTGATTCACTTACCAATTGTGGCAAGATATAGGTTGTGAAAAATTCACTTAAGAACTGTTTCACTTAGCAATGGAAATGTTGGGCTCAATTGTCATAGTAAGTTGAGGATCACCTGTATAGATCCTTTATAGCTGGATTTAGATTACTTTTCTCAGTTGCATCATAGTTTTTATGTAATTATGAGGTATTTGGGAGGCACATTTAAAGTTCATCACATAAAGAGTTGCAGTATAATTCCAAGCCTCTTGTTGTAAGCAGGCTTCAAAATGTAAAATAGCAGTATGTGAAAAATACAGTATATAATTGCTGTAGTTGAGGGATGATTTACTTGGAAATTTCTTTTAATATGAACATCATTGCTTTTTTTTTTTTTTACTTTAAAGAAAGCTTTAGTGAAGAGATTTTTGTGCCCCCATTTGAGCAGTTTGACTTATCTAATTATTTCAAATTGATCTTACCAGACATTGATTCCAAGCATTTTGTTTTATTTAGAAAACATATAAATGATATATATGATCTCCATAGGAAAGTGACAAGTCCTATTATGAGAGTTTCAATGAATTTGTCTTCCATGGAGGAGTCAGGAGCAAATTGGAAGTAGTTTTTTAAAAAAAGTGAAAAATGGAGACTGGAAGAAGAAAATAGTCAGAGAGTAAAAAATTATAATAGGAAAGAGAAATACAAGCAGACAGAAGAAAAATAAATAAAAATGAAAATGGACAATAGAAAGCAGTGAAAAAAGCACTTTTATTTTTTATTTTTAAAAACCCTCCCCTCCCATTATTTAAAGGCAGAATCTTGTTTGATCTCCAGTTTCTTTAAAAAAAAAAAAAAAAAAACAAGTTTTATTAATTTTCAAAACACACAAATCATCATTATCCATTACATGTTTAAACCTTTTTCCATTATAAATTTAACAAGTCAGATAAACTATAATTCTTTTAAACCATTTCCATATAAACATACAAAAACCTCTTATCCAATTTCTCTTTACTTCTCTTTACTCTTATTCAATTTCATTATTATTATTTCATCTATTTCTTTCTGACTTAGTTACCATTATTCTCATTCTATATTTCTGCAAGGTTTTATTAATTCTCCCCCCCCCAAAAAAAAAAAACATATACACACAACACACAAAACATAAAAAAAATCTTTTTGGAAAGTAACTTGGACCCAGGTATCTCTCTCTTCATGGACTTCAATTATATTCATGCTCATCTTACATATCATTACTTATTTTATTTACCATTCTAAGTCTTCTATATTAACTTCTCCACATATTTCACTCTTCTTAATTCTATCTTAATTAATCATCTTAATTTGAGTCATTATATTTGTATCTTTTGTCCATTCTTTATTGTCCCTTTGTCTCGTTCCTTTTAAAAAAAAAGAAGTTTCTCCTGAAATCACTAATCAGAGTATGATGCCTTTCTATCTCCCCCCTAAATTAATGATCTCCAGTTTCAACGACACTGGCAGATTTTTAACCAGCTCTCCTTCTTTTCATATACAGAAGCAAGTTACATTTTTAAAAAAATTATTCCCCTTATGGTAAAGTACTGTACACTTCAACTTGGACTAGAATGCTGGCAGAGACAGGGTTTGGGGTTTTTTTTCCCCTCTGTGGTCCGAAACAGATTTATCCCCCTTTTACATTTTTAATTTATACAGCTAAATAAGATTTAAAACAAGCTTGTAACTGCATTTCTGTTAAAGAAACAAGACTGCTCATGCCAAAATATTTACATGTCTGAAAATGAAAACTTGTATCATAGTGTGTTTACAAAAGTAGCAAGATCTTGTGAAGCAAAGAACACAATTGGAGATTACAGTATTTTATTTCATATTGCCCAAAGAACAAAATGCAGTATAAACTCGCTGACATTTTTTTTAAAAAAACATTGTTTAATCAGGATGTGCCAACATAAAATTGAATGTGCTTCATAATTTCTTAAATATTTCAGATCACTATAACTGGTTAAATCTTTTTTTTACAAAACAAACCATAACATTTCTTTTTAAACATTTGTTGCTTTTGTCCAGTTGCATGAGATTTTTTTCTGTCATTGTCTTTTTCCAAAGTTAGTTTTAGAGAAAGTAAACAATTGACAACATAGCAAAAGACTGGTAAAATGGACATTAGGTCTTTTTCTGTTCTGTTTTTTATGATTCTAAAATAATAAATTCGACAATA